TTACCACGACTACATGCATAGGATGTGAAAAAGGGCATAACGAAGAATAATTTTGTCTTTTTGCTGGGTTTCCTATTTGCAACCCTGGCAACTCTATACCGAGTGGCGGCTCTTTACGTCGGACCCGTCGGAGCGATGGCTACACACTGAGCTTTCGTTATTTCTGGATGTGTGTCTGTCTTCTCTTCTCCGCTGCTTTACACTTGCGCAGGATGAAATACAAGCAAACTTTGTGTTTGCTTGATTCTCACTTTGTTTATTTCAGAAAATCAGCACATTGCACGCATTGAGTGACCAGATGACAGCACTGGTTTAAATTGACAGTTCCAATTTCGCAAAAGCTTGAAATGGCATAATACCTTTCTTTTGTACAAAATTAGTGTAGGGGAATTAGGGGCATAATGAACACCTTAAGGGAAAATACATTTATATGAACACATAGGTCTCGAAGGAAAGTTTTCTTGTAAAATTTCCTAGGAAATAGTTGGGTTGATTTATTTTTAGATGACAATGGGTGACCTCACCAGATTTTTATTTGAAAAAGTAAGTTTTCCCATAGAAAATCCTATGTAAAATTGAAACCGCTGGCGCTAAAATAAAGTTTCACCGACCGACCTGAATTTTTTCACTGTTTTTCTAGGACCCAGAAGGCGCCCGGAAATCATACTGGAACTGGAATTTGAATTTTGTCCCACCCTAATACCTACGGCAATGTGGAAAACGAAAGTAAGCCAGCGAAGGCATTCGACAAGGATTTCTTTGTAGAGGCTCTCCGAGTAGACAGCAGCGTCCCAGACCAAAGCGCGAACGAGTAGACCGAATCGTTAGCGAGGGCATGCGACACAACCATGCCGAGGAAATAGGAGCCAAGGAACAGACGGCGCCCAGCTTACTGGTGGAACGAGGCACTTAGCGCCCTCCACAGAAGGCGTGTTCAGAGAGCAAGAACTGATGCAGACAGAGCAGAGCGAAGGGTGGTGTTTCGAGCAGCCAGGGCCGCTCTAAAACGGGAGATAAAGCTGAGCAAATCAAACTGCTTCAAGGAGCTGTGCCGAGACGCTGATGGCAACCCCTGGGGTGACGCATACCGAGTCGCGATGGCAAAGATTAGAGGTCCAACGACGCCCGTTGAAAAGTGCCCAGACAAGCTGAAAGTCATCGTGGAGGGACTTTTCCCGAAGCACGACCAAATGACCTGGCCACCTACACCGTACGGCAAGGCAGAGGCAGACAACACCGAAGGTAGGCTGACTCCCGGTCCGGATGGAATCCCCAAAGTGGCGTTGAAGGCGGCGATCCAGGCGTTCCCGGACATGTTCATAGTAGTGCTGCAGAAGTGTCTGGATGAAGGTCACTTCCCGGACCGATGGAAGATACAGAAGCTAGTGCTGCTGCCGAAGCCCGGAAAACCGCCGGGGGATCCAGCATCGTATAGGTATATGCTTGCTGGATACAGTCGGAAAGCTATTGGAGAAGATCATCCTCAACAGGCTAACGAATTGCACGGAGAGTGAGCACGGATTGTCGGCGGTGGACGCAATTCGGACAGTGGTCAAGAGTGCCGAGAAAGCGTCCAAACAGAAGCGGAGAGGAGATCGATATTGCGCCGTGATAACGATCGACGTGAAGAACGCATTCAACAGCGCCAGCTGGGAGGCCATCGCCGAAGCATTGCATGGAATGAGGGTTCCTGATTACCTGTGTAGCATTATAAGGAGTTACTTCCAGAACCGGGTTCTAGTCTACGAGACGGACATGGGAGAGAAATCAATCCGGATCACGGCGGGTGTTCCGTCGTCCATCCTTGGCCCAATGCTCTGGAACCCGATGTACAATGGCGTGCTAACGCTGAAGCTACCCAAAGGAGTCGAGATCGTAGGATTTGCGGACGACGTCGTCTTGGCGGTAGTAGGCGAGACGTTGGAAGAGGTGGAAATGCTGGCAACCGAGGCGATCGACACGGTTTCCAACTGGATGCAAGGAGCGAAGCTGCAGATAGCCCACCACAAAACGGAAGTACTATTGGTCAGTAACTGTAAAGCTGTTCAGCGGGCAGAAATTACCGTCGGGGAGAACGCCATAGCATCAAAGCGCGTGCTGAAGTATCTTGGAGTGATGCTCGATGACCGGCTAAACTTCAATAGCCACGTCAACTACGCATGTGAGAAGGCGGCGAAGGCCATCAATGCGATAGCTAGAATCATGCCGAACAACTCTGTACCAAGCAGCAGCAAGAGGCGTCTTCTGGCTAGTGTATCGTCGTCGATAGTGAGGTACGGGGGTCCAGCCTGGGATATACCGCTGAAAACGAAGAAGAACGAAAGAAAATTGAACAGTACGTTCCGCCTCATGACCATGCGAGTCGTGAGTGCGTACAGAAAAATTTCGACGGAAGCAGTATGCGTTATCGCCGGTATAATACCCATCGTCATCACCTTGGCGGAGGACAGCGAGTGCTAAGTGGCAGCAGGAGTGGGACGCAGCGGAGAACGGTAGAATGCTTAAATAAAACAGAGAAAAAGGGTTATCTTCCATTTAATTCCACTTAAATAATTTTGGTATCCATGACAGATACTTATTTCGACTACAATGTGCAGTGTCATTCCCACTAAAGACTTATCAAAAACCTAACCCCCTTAAGTACTCATCCCCTAGGTAAAAATGTCAAGATCACAGGTATAAAAATCATTACTTCAAGATGCTTGCGTTGCATCCGGCCGCGTGCTGTTGGTATCGTCGTGCCTGTAGATGTATCTGTTGCTGGGTGTCAGGGGTGCTGCGGTTGTATTGGCAGGTTGTCTCTGTGTCGGTGGAGTATCCACTGTAACTATATATATAACACTCGCCAATTTTTCACACAGCAGACTATACCTTCAAAGCCCTCGGTTTGACGGATACAGCATGTTTATGACTCCGTTTCGGCTTCTTCTGCTTCTTGAACGATTTCAATCCGCTTCTTGCCTTGGTACGTTGGACGTCACTCTTCGATGTTCTCAGTTTTTTTCCAAATCTCGAACGAAGGGAATTTTTCTTATTGACGAAAGCTTGGTGATCTTCTAGTCCACTTTTCGGTCCACCGGTCCCGGTTTACTACCAGATTCCGATGTGTCCTCGAATGTAAATTCTTCACCGAACTTTCAGATGGCGGTTTGGACTGCTTCGATACTTACCTCCTCCATTTTCGCCAACTTCCTTACTAATAGATTGGGAATCGTGCACCATTTGTGCACGATCTGTTTGCGCTTTTCCAGGGAAATGCCTCGCAGTTTGAAGATTTTAAACTTCATTAAACTGATAATCTTCATCGAGGTAGAAATGGCGGCGAGTTGACAGTATGCTTATACTTTCTGGGACACCCTATAGTACGACCATGGTTTACTGCACGGTAAGAAAAAAGCACCTAAAAGTAAGTTCTTTTCACTCATCTCGGCACTATAGTGCAGGCACCCAAAAGTAGGTAATTGAGGTCAAAGTAGTTCTCATTTACTTGTGTGCAATTCTTATGGAATTTCCCACACGCTTTCTACCCAAAAGTAAGCTGTACTCAAAAGTAGGTAAAGATTATACTCAACGTAGGGTTCCCACACTTTACTACCGCTGTTTGGTGGTTTTGCTCCTCCGTTTTTGACAAGATTAGAAGGAGAAAAGAAGACAAACTAGGCAAAAGTAGTTAAAAGTGAACATTTTGGGATTTTTTTTTCCAACCGTGTGGAAAACGTAGATTTGATGTGGTTTAGCATTTAGGAAGTAACTGTCATATGCAAAGCTGTCCAATAGGCCAAGTGCTATCGAAAAAGTTCCTCATTACTAGAAATACACAGAGGAAGAGATGGGCGGAGAGAACGTTTTGAGCCAAAGAACTGTCAAAATTTGAGCCAATCGAACATTCCCATTAGAATTTTTCCGATAATTTCTTATTCTTACTAGATTAAATTTGAGAGGTTTGCAATCGAACAGTAATTTAATCACCTTTACGTTTCGTGTGCGTCTCAAATTCAACTAGTTTTTGGAATCAAAAGCAATATTTTAACTCTATTGATTAAGGTTCAGATTGCAAAAAGCTCACGTCATTCTATTCTCTATGCTATTTCACACAAAATGACGCAAGATCTTTGCAATCTGAAATGATGCGTCGAAAAAAAACTGCATTTGAATTGTTTGAAACGGTATCAAGTTAATTGAACCTTAATTGATCTTAGTTGGTTAATTAATGGCACCAAAAAATGTGTGAAATATTTCGATGCAATCAATTATTATTTTGCCCGTAACTCGAATCAAAAATAAAAGTCATGTGAAATGCTAGCTTCTAGCAAAGTGTGCAAGATAATTTAAGTTCAAATCCCTGCTGCCAAATTGTGTTTTGTTTTCTCCGCCCATCTCTCACTCTGAGTATTTCTCGGTATCTTTACTCATTAACGGTACTTTAGGAACAAAGATGGGTTGCATAGCTATATGCCCTATTGTATATTCTGCATAATGTTATTCGTGCCAAAAATAAACTATAAATTAAGATACTTATGTTCCAGAGTGGTGCTAGAACCGAAATGAGTTCCCATCGAGTCATCCACATTCCGTTGCGCGGCGCTGTTCCGTGTTGACAGCTGTCATCCATCGCAAAACCTACCTTCAATTGACACACCTACCATCGCAGCGCATCGCAAACCATTAAGCAGAGGCTAGTGTTGCCCGATGGCAGCTCTTTTTCAGTGTAGTGAAGTTTTTTCGTCGTCTCCCCATTAAAATATCGCAAAGTGCTAGACCCAGCCACAGTGGTTTTTCGTGTCGGAGGGGATTGAGAATTGGAAAATTTCTAGTATTTCTGCACGGAAAAGTGACTAAAAGCGGTCCAGAAGTGCCGGAAGAGACCATGTAACACGCAGGTTGTCCAGTGCTCAAAGTGCGGCCCGTAATTGTGGTACGAATCGTGTGTGAAAATGTGCATTCAGTCCAAAATGTCGATGTAGGAAAAGAGCTACAGGTTCAAACTTTTTTCCTCCCCCACCTCACACTCTCTCGCGCGATGCTCTCGTGTCACCCCCTTTCGTTGTTCCTTCCTTCCTTCCTTCCTTCCTTCGTACTTGATGTGCTTGTAGCTCTCGTTTATACACGCAACAACCATTATTCCTTTTGCACTCGCTCGCTCTCTCTCTCTCTCTCGCTCTCTGCGTACTTTATGCACAAGTGTTTCTCGCTCTGGGTCTCCTCCTCGTCGCCACTTTACACGGCGATGATGACGATGGGAGCCCAAAATCGAAGAAAGTACCTGAACCGCCTAAGTCTGTGTGTGAATGACTAGCTTTGCATTATTTCGACATTGTGCACCTCAAATTATGCACAAATTGTGTGTAGCAGACTCATTACTGAAAACCCCCTTTAGCATCAAACTGACTGATTGCCAGAAGAAACCGAGTGTGCCTTGCGCGATGCAAACGCAGTGTATTCCCACTCTCTCTCTCTCTCTTTTTTTGCTCTTATATCGGTGTGTCTCTCTGATTGGACGGAAAAAATATTAAAGAAACGAGCTCGATTGTTTTTCTTTTCCTGCATAGCCTACTTGATGTTGTTTGTTTGTGTGTGAACGTATATTATGTTGCATAGTAGTTTTTTTTTCGGTGTGATTTTCAACATTCAACAATTTTCCTCGATTGGGAAATCCTTTCGCTCGCCACTTATTTTGTGTTCTTGCATTTGTTAAATTCTCCTAAATAAAAAAAAAAAAACAACAACCAGTGTCAGTGTAAATACGCGTGCTAATGTATGAGTGTTTGTGAAATCATCATCGATTGATCCTTCCAGTGTGCAATAATTGAAGAGTGTCCAAAATTAAGAGTGCAACGCGATCCGGATCTGGTTCGAAGAAGCCTGAACCTCATAAAATGTGCACCACAAAAGCTGAACGGTTTGATTTTTGGTAATGGTTGTGTTGACTGCCAAAGTGCTTTCGAGTGACTGGTTCTTTTTTTGGAGTGTATCTTTTTTTTTTCCATGGTGCTCACCCTTTCGCACAATGGTGTGCTCTTGAAACGCATCGAAAATCTAAATGAGCTGGCTTTCCTGGCCATTTTAAGTAGTAGACCCCCTAGTCTTAACCGTGTATACAGTAGAAATCATAATAGCACAAAACAAAAACGAGCAAAATTCCATCCATCCCATCGTAGAGGAGAGGCGGTATCAAGTGTCTGTGGAGTTGTTTGGTGTGTAAAATAATGCTCGCTACACTTCAACCTGAGCCAGCAGGCGAAAATTCCATTCCACCGACCGTATCAAAGCCGCTAGAAGTTTTATAATTCACACTTAACTTATTGTGTTTTTGTTGTTGTTGTTGCTTATTTTCTTTTATCTTGATTTTTTTTTTCGTATTCCTCCTTTATATCGCTTGTGCACCCAGACGAGAATCAGTAACAGAGATAAGAGTAAAAACAGTTAATTTTGTTCATGATGGATAGTAAAGATCACCTCGCTTCGGAACAGTTGATACTGTTGTCATCAGGTAATAATGATTTATTTTGCTTCTTCCGTTCTTGTTGCGTAGAGTAAATTCTAATTAGAAGGTGTTTTTTTCATAGAAGGGTTCTTCCGTACGGGAGGTTTAAATCTATTCAGCTAATGCGTAGACTTCTTTTGCTCAGATAATCAACAACACTTTAATCGTTATGGATTCGATTCTTCTGTAGCTTCTTCAGGGCTCAAGTTATATGTTAGATTGTTAGGATATTTAGCATGTTATGTTAAGTTTAAGATTTCGGTTGACATATAAATTAGTTGGTTACTAACAGTCTGCTTCGCTATAAACTAATCAGAGGTAATCAAAACTTTAATGGATGCAATGCGGATTGCCATCGAAAACGTTAACCGTTGACGTTATCGGCGATAATGTCATTATCAAACCTGGTGTAGGAATTTGCTTAATGTGGAATTACCATTTTGTGTCCAACAATCACCATGGTAAGGAGTTGACCTTAAATAAGAAATACATCAATAACTTTGCTTGATTCTTTTCAAGATGGCTAATTTAAAATCAGATGTAAATTTGTTCGTGCTGAATGAACTTTAGTAAAACTAAAAGCATATAAAAGATTAATGTTTTGACTACAACAACAGAGCAACGTTCAGGGCTCTGCTTGTGTCCCTTCTAGTTCGGAGAAGTTCTAGGTCGATAAGTTGACAACGGCTTTCGTAACTGGGTATTCGAAACGGATCATTTCAAGGCAATCGGAACAGATTCGATTCTCTAGACACCGTTGTTATAGTTTGGGTTCCGAACCGTGGAACAATACTCAAGCAACGATATCGAACAAGCAATACCGTATGCGTGATAATGTTTGCACCATTGTAAAATGTCAAAATTTAAAAAAAATTCTCAAAAATTTCGTTTTCGAGTTTTTTTTTTTTTATTATTCAAAGTGGGGAGGTTTCTCAGAGTCTTCAACTTTGTTAATCATCGATCGAGTTTCCACTTGCTGCAATTATGGCCTCCACGCGCTTCCGGAATGCACGGCAGGTTCTAATAATGTAGTCTGGATCCATTTCTCTCCAGGTACGGGTCAATGTTTGTCTGAGGCTTGCTGTACTCGGGTGGCGTTTAGAACAGGTCTTAGCCTTCATGACGCGCCATATTGAGTAATCCAGCGGATTAAGATCGGGGCTGGATGGCGGCCACATATCCTTCGCCCAGAACGGAAGATGTTCCTGCAACCTCTTCTTAGTGCGGTTCGAGGTGTGGCACGGAGCCCCACATTTGGCTTCGGACCGTACTGTTCTTTGATCCACGGAAGAACATACTTACTTAAAATCCCGATGTAGACCTCCGTGTTGACCTTGTCGCCTTCTGGAATGTACACCGGGTCCATTTTTTGCCATCGGAAGCCACCAATCCAAACACCATAACGCTAGCAGGATGCTTGGTCAGATACACGTTCTTGTGCTCGTCGGCCACGTATTTTACCGGAAGAGAACGGTAAACATGCTCTCATCGGTGAACAGGATTACCGGATTTTTCAAGATTTTTTTCAAATTCAAGATTTTCTTGCATCGTTCGACTCGTAGCTCCCGGATGGGGTTGGTAATCATATGAGTTTTTTTTTCCGTGCCCTTGACTTCGCCCCGCAATCTTCCTTTACGATCTTCCGTGCCGTAAAGTCACTGATCCTGTGTTCATTTGCCATTTTGCTTATTGAACGCACTGGATTCACCCGAATCTTCCTTTTGATAGCATCGATAACCCTCGGAACCCGAGCTGACCTCGAACGACCTGTGGCCACCTTCACGGATAGTTGTCCTTTCTTTTCTCGGTCTAAACCGCTTTTGATGGTCCACCGGGACACTCCCACGGCGATCTTTTTGCGACATTTGCGCGTGGGACAAATCACGAATACGCTGCCACTTCGTCATGGTGCAACTGTCAAACTAAGTAAATAATTTTTCTTTTATACACAGCCTACTACAGTATGAGCTAAATGTTACGTGCATGCAAAGAAAACCAAGGCATTGTATGCACAGGTGAAACGGGAATCTTATTTGTACGATGGTGCAAACATTATCACGCATACGGTATATGCTTGAATGATAGCTGCGAAGATCACACCCAAGTCTTTCACCTGATTCACGCATTCACTACCATTATGTTTAAACTGCACCAACTAGCGAATGCATTCAGCTGACGTTAAAGGAAGTAACAGTCTGCGATCGCTTGGATTCGTAGGAAGGTTTGAGGTCATCTGAACGTGATAACCACGGAGTTTCGATGATCAGATGCCCGTCGTTGAAGTACAGTAGAAAAATCAACGGTCCTAGTTAACTTCTCTGAGGTATACATGATGTGGCGAAGCTAGGTGATCTGCAATCTCTTATGGCAACCTTTAGTTGGTGACCGATAAGATACGATCGAAACCAACTCTGAAGATTACCGCATACACCAAGCCTGTCGAGCTTAGAAATTGCAATAGCAAGGTTCAAATGCTGCGGATAGGTCTGAATAGTGCCGTTTGAGACCGATCCGACATGCTTTCGGTTATAAACGATGTGAGACACAGCAGATTAGTGGTTGAAGAGCGGCCGACAGTAAACCCATGTTGATCAGCACTCAATGGACAGCAACGGTTCCATAATCACTAGCTCGAATAGCTTCGAAACGGCTTTTAACGATGTAATTCCTTGATAGTTATCCACACAGCTCGTTTTCTTCCTTTTTTGTGGACAGAAAACATGTGCGCAAATTTCCAGCAGGATGGAAATATGCCACTGGATAGAGACATGCGGAACAGACGATGAAGCAGAACTAACAAGCTAGCAATATATCTCTTCAAAAATACAGATGGAACTCAATCAGGTCCAGGATTGAAGGATGACTTGAGCAGAGTCACGGTCCTGGAAATCATCTCAGCATTAACATTAATTGCAACCAGTGTTTGATCATTTACTGGAACGTTCCTGGCAGCAAGGGTGTATATGAATTTCGCAAGCGATAACGTCGTAAATCTTCTCAATGCTTTTCTCTTGATTGACTTCAATCTACGTAGCTCCATAGAGTTAACTCTACGACCAGAAGGTCCCGAAGAAACGTGCTCAACTTTTTGGCTCAGCTCTGGTACTATCTTCGGTCCCAAGCTAATCGATTCACCCCTCGAAACATAGGAAAATCCACTAACCCCTCATTTTATCTGTCAAACTTTCATAGCGAATCAAAACAAACATAGTGTAGTACTAGAATTTCGACTAAAATGGGGTACGTTAATCGTTTGCTTGGGACCAATAGGCTAGTCAAGTAGTGAGCCAATTTAAAGTCATTAGTTTCCACCGGTTGGTAGCTTTCTCGTCTGCCAGGGAGGGTAAAGACATATGCCAAGACACGTGAAAAGGTTTGCACTGCAGCCCCAACATCATCAGGATCAAGGATGTTCTCCCATATCATGCTAGACAATACATCTATGATGGTGGTCAGCTTAACGGAAGTCATAAGAAACCGCATCAAGATAACCGTCGAAATCACGCACGAGTTTGTCCTCAAGTGAGTGACAATTAGAGGAGGGTGATGTGGAACTAGCTTAGTTTGTGCACAAGGAGCCGAGGAAATTAATGGATCCCTGTCCTGAGTGCTCACGAAGCAGAGGTCCAAACTATGATTATTTTTGTAGACTGCATGGTTAATTTGAGAAAGCGTTGCTGCGCTGCAGCTGTCGAAATGTCGATTGAAGTCAACCAAAATGAATATCTCATCAACTTGAGTGGCACTTTCGATAACTGTGAAAACTGACCGACAATGAGTTTCGATAAGTTCATTGTATCGGATTCGATCAGGTGGAATGTACAAGAGCGCATAGCAATAGTGTGCGATCACCCAGATTGATGACTGACCAAACCTGCTCCACATAGTTGCAAGATGGCCTTTGCCTCCAACCCGGCATGATTTGAATTGATGAACAGTTCTAGATCTTCAGAATTGGTCATTCTGAAGTCTTGGAAAATCTTCAGAGGGCTTTCTTGTAACCCGACAGCCTTACGAGTTTCCCGTTTTTTTTTTTAGTAAAAATGGCTTAAGCGCCACTCCCGAGGGAGACCATCTACCGAGACCACACACTTAGAAAAATTCTTGTAAATGTAGGTGCTCTGAGAGTGACATATACGAGCGTCAATCTTGACATAAATTTGAGTCATAACAGGCGCAAAATATAGCTTAATCAAACGTACTTTTCGTCGAGCAACGAACTATTCAGTCTCGGAGCACTTAATATTACATGACATGCGTGATTACGTCTCATCTATTATGTCAAATATGGATTCCGTCACGTGTTAAATTAGTTATTTCTAAGTGTGTAGGGTTGCCCGACTGCATGAGACCTTTCAGGGAAGGTTGCCCAAGTGAATGGGCGGGAAGCATGTTGGCTGTCGCTGTCGATCGATTAAAGGGTGATACGGTCAAAATTTGGTCAAGGGAAAACGCGTGTAAATCGGTGAAATCGTTTATTTAAAAAATCAAATTAAATTTCTTTTTCAAGTTCAATTAGTATAAAATTCAGGAAAAATATTCAGTTAGGCTTCCGCTTTTCCAAATCCGAATTGCTGGGCCTTACGCTTGACCCCTGCCATCAGATTTTGTACAGCCACCTTGTCCACCTTCTTCGCCGCAGAAAGGCAGTTTGCCTTGAACTGCTGCTCGCCCTTAGCAGTTTTTTTGGTCTTCTTTAGGTTCCGCTTGACAATAGCCCAGTATTTCTCAATTGGGCGGAGCTCTTGCGTGTTGGGAGGGTTCTTGTCCTTGGGAACCACCTGCACGTTGTTGGCGGCGTACCACTCCATGGCCTTTTTACCGTAATGGCAAGATGCCAAATCCGGCCAAAACAGTACGGAACAACCGTGTTTCTTCAGGAAAGGCAGCAGACGTTTATTCAAACACTCTTTCACGTAAATTTCTTGGTTGACAGTCCCGGAAGCTATGAAAATGCTGCTTTTCAAGCCACAGGTACAGATGGCTTGCCAAACCAGATATTTCTT